TTTCGACAATCATTCTGTCAACGAAATATGTTGATATGAAGGGTGTATGTTATTTTACGCATCTCATGGATCACAATGTGCACCATTTTTGGGTACATAAATGTCATCTACTCTCATCTAACGACCCTGAATATTACGTTCCCCCGATACATTACAGGGATTAAATATGAAGACTCAAAATTTTCGATATTCATTATGTCAATATATACCATACCTATCTGATTGTCTTAAATTATTCTACGCATCGCGTGGTTCAGAATTTACATTTCTTCTTTTTTAACATAAATAACACCAAATATTACTTATCAATAGTGAAGTGTTACAGTCATCGATTACGATTCGTTGCTTACGTGACCATTTGAAATTTCCGGCGTTCATCCTATCAATATATCATATTGATTTGAGGGCCTTAGATAATTCTACGCATGGCGAGGATCACAATTAACACAATTTCTTTGTACATAAATATCATCTAATATTATCTAACGACCCTGAAATATTACGGTCCTCTATTACTTTTTCGGTGCTTACATGTTATCTCAGAATATCCGACTTTCATTCTGTCAATTTATCCTATTTCTCTGACGGTCTTACATTATGATATGCAACACTGAGTTCACTATGAGTACATAAACATCATCCAATATTATTTCTCGATCCTGAAATGTTACTGTGTTCTTGTACGTGGAATGTGGGTTACATATGAGTTACATACAAAGTATTCGACATTCATTCTAACAGTATATCTTAATGATCAGATGGTCTTACATAATTCTACACGTCGCGCGGTCACTATGTACATTATTTTAGTGTACATAAATATGATATAATATTATTAAAGTATTACGGATTTTTAGTATGTAGAATGGAGTTTACATATTCTCCTTTAAAATTCACGACAAACAATGTATTAATATATTATCTCGATCTGTAGTCTTGTATTTTTCTACTCATCGCGGGGAAGCTGCGAACACAATTTTTTAATATATGAGTGCGACTTAATATTATTTAACGACACTGAAATAATATGGCGTTTCGGTACGTGGAATTAGTTTACATATGCTGCTTGGAAATTCTTGATATTAACAGTAATAATAAGGTATCATGACGTTTTTGTCTGATATTATTTGCATCACAAAGAACACAATTTTTTAATGTATAACTACGATTTAATATTCTTTATCGATCAGGAATTGGTAGGAGGCTACGGTACGATTCTCGGCTTACATATGACCACTCAAAATTTACGGCACTCATTCTGCCAGTATATCATATAGATCTGATCGTCATATTGTATTCTCCACCTCGCGGGGATCATTCTGAACACAATTTTTTAATATATAACGGCGATCTAATAATATTTATCGACACTGAATTATTACGGAGTAACGTCTGGTGGAAGGTGGTTACTTATACTGGTTACTTATGCAGTAACCTTGAAAGTGATCGACATTCAACGTATTGTCTCGAACTGTTGGTCCTTTATCATTCTATCACTTTGAGCAAAATTTTTTAATATATTACTGTGGCCTAATGTTATTTATTGTCCCTGAAGTTTTGCGGAGTTTCGATACGTAGAATGATGTTTACATATGCTTCTTGAAAATTCTAGACATTCACCGTATCAAAATATTATCTCGATGAGATAGTCTTATATTATTCTACGAATCGAGGGGATTATTACGTGTTCAATTTTTTAATACCTATTGATGGTCTGATATAATTTATCAGACATGAAATACTTCCAGTACGTGC